AGCCTAGGGAGAGGAAGCACCTTGCTCAAGCTGACTCGCAGGCCTGGCTCTTGGGTCAGGTGTCGCCCACAGCAAGAGGGCCTGGGAGACCCCCGGCCCACCCTTGTGCTTCTCAGGGGAGAACGCTGAGGACCACATCCTTTCAGCGCCTCATTCCTCCTCTTCCAGAAGAGTCCCAGTGAGCAACAGCTCAGGGCACACATAGGCGAGTTTGAATGCTGGAAATCTCAGCTGGGATCCTAGCATCAGGGGAAGGGCCAGGCTCTAAAAATAAACCACTCGCCTAAGCCCGGGTGCAGGCAGGAGCTTGGCCAGCCAGAGCGGCCGCCTGCCACTCCCCGCAGATGGCGGCAGTGCAGCCTGAGGGCCCCCCTCTCAGGCAGCTGGCCCCTGGGATGGGCTGGAGGCAGGTGGCAGCCAAGAATATTTCACCCCCCGCTCCTGAGGGCACCCCACCTCCACAGGCACACGCACATACACTCCCTGAGCTGGGCAAGCTGCACAGAGCGGGCTGGGGGCTGCTCCCCAGAAAAGAGACAGCAGGCCCCTAGGAAGCCTGGAGCCACTTCTCCTGGTGCCAGCCTTGCCCTCTGCGTGCTGGACAGCAGCAAGCCCAGGCACAGGTAAGCGATGCCTCCTTGTGCCCCTGAAGGGCCTGCTCTCTTGGAGAAGGGGATGCAAGCTGCAGGGTGTGGGGGGTGGGGTGGGAAAGAGCTGTGGGAGGAGGCAGGAGCCACAGATCCCTTGGTTTCTCGCATCTTCCCTCAGCTCTGGGAATCCTGGCATGGCCACTGCGCTCTTCTCGCTCTCTGGCTCCCTCTCCGTGCCCCCAGCCTGGTGGGGAACAGCCTGCCCTGTTCATTTTGGAGTACTCTCTTCCTCTGTCAAAACATCTGAGTCCTGTTGGCTTAATAAGATGCTGGCTCCAGGGTAATGGGTTTGCAGCAACCAGGTGGAGAAGTTTTGCTGTGCAGGGTTGCAAGGAGCCAGTGCCTCCAGGAGGAGAAAGGCCTCCCCTTTCCACTCCGGGGTCTGGGTAGGGCAAGGCCAGAAGGCACTGGGCTTCTGCCCCAGAGGAGGGTGGGCAGCAGGCCTTATCAGGAGCGCTGGCCAGGGAGGATTCTCTTTGAAAGATGGGGAGAAATCCAAGGAGACAGGCCCCTGGGCGGGTCTCCAGTTCCCCAGTTCTGTGTCACGCTTCCAGGCTTACACAAAGAAACTCGTTTTTGTGAGTGCTGCTTTGGGAGTCGAGCCAGGTCTGATGGACTGAGGTAGAATGAGGGGACTTGTCTCAAGAGCTCAGAGCTTTCGTCCCTGTGCTCGGAGGGACTGTCAGGCCTGGCTTTCTGCCTAAACTGCTTTCGGTGCCAGATCCCAGGAAAGGGTATTCACCAACAGGAATATTCCCCATTGGAGCCAGGACGGCAGGGAGATGGTCTCCGTGGGGGGCCCTGCTGGCGGCCTTCACCCGCCCCGGTTTGCAGAGGAAGGCAGGTGCTGCGGGGAGGCCAGAGGGGATTTGGGGCCAGCCTCTCCACGGCACACAGCACAGGAATCATTGGGGGAGTGGGATTAGGGTGATGGATTTTTCTTGGCCTGAGGGTGAGCTGGCATCCGCCACAGCCAACTCCTGCAGCAGGCTGGCTTGGCTGAGCACAGGTGTGAGGTGCTGCTGGGCTCGGTGGGGCCAGGCTTTGTCCAGGCTGCTGTGAATTGTGCTGGGTCAGGAAACACCAGGAGGCCAGTGCTGGGTCTGGAACTGAGCACACAGTTCCTGCAGATGCTGCCCAGGGCCCTGAGGCCGCCCAGGGCCAGGTGCCCACCCCATGCCCCTCTGCCGTCCACCCTGCCCCCCTCACCGTCCACCCCGCCCTCCTCGCCATCCACTCCGTTCACGTCCCAGGAGCTGGTTTCCTCGACCTTCTCTTCCCTGTGTCTTCAAGGAACCCTGCTCAGGGGCTGCCTCATGAACTAGCCCCAGGAAGCCCACTGCACCCCAGCTTTGGTTACCTTCTGATCGTTACATGTGGCCTGTGTCACTAGGACGAGAAATTGAGTCATTGCCATTGTTGGGGCTCAAATTCCCATCTGGGCTCCTGCTGTATGCTCCCCCACCATGTGAATCTTGGCAGAACCCTGGGCTCCTCTAACCTCAGTCTGCTGGTGGATACAAGGGTGGTGATGCTTCCTTCCTTACTGGGCTGTGGGAGGATTGACAGATCACACATGGGAAGCAGGACGGGGGTAAGGGATATGGCAGTGCTCGGGGGAAGGGAACACTGTTTACATCATGATAATGTCTTCTTCTGATTAGTCTGTGCACCTCAAGGGCCACTACTTCCCAGCATAGTAGGTGTGCAGCAATGCTTGTTGAATTCACACATGTGCATGCACACACACAGACACAGGCACGCCAGGTGACCTGCATGTGTTGTTATGTTGGCACTACCACCCTAGCTCCAACTTATCCCAAGCCCGCCTGCCTAGGACAATAGCCACGGTGCCCATAGAAGCAGCCTCCGCACCCCCACCGCGGGTGCCACGTCTGCCCCACGCAGTCCTGGCCGACACCGCAGGTGGATGGATTTTGGTCCATGGCACTTGATCACCTCCATACAATGGGGAGAGCCTGCTGAGGGCAGAGCTGGGGCAGGCATGGCTGTAAATCACCATAACCACCACCATCAGGTGCTGGTCCTGGTCTTGGGAGCATCTGCTCTGTTTTGGCGAATTGGCTTCCTACTTATGAATGCATGTGCCCACTCAGCCTCTCCCCCAAGACACTTCTGAGGTGAGCCTCTTCCCAAGAGCTGCCCACAGGCCCACAAGGCTGGAAGGAGAGCCCCATCTGACCGTGTGCAGCCTCTGTGGCTGTCCAGGAAGGATGGGTGAGGCAGAGGTGGTGGTGGTCATGTTCCCACCTCCACAACTGGGGCGCCAGGACCCAGGACAGCGTCCTGCAGGTGTTGCAACAAAGGCCTGAAAACCAAGGCACGCTCCTACAGTCACAACAGCGGCCCGTTTATCAGGCACTTGTAGGAGTGCCAGGCTCGGTGCACGATGCTTGCAAACACTGTCTTACACATTGAACCAGTCAGCGCCGTGGAAAGGAACAACACTGTAAAAATACACCAATTGGCAAAATGATGCTGTGTTATATATCTTAGTACAAACGAGTAAAAACCCAATGGTGTCTGCTGGCCCCTCCAGCAAACCTGCCTGATCTTTAGCACCTAGCCTCTGTTGTGTGTGCCATCCTCGAGCACGCCTCTGGATGCCCCCAGCCCCCTGCCTCTGAGTTCGGTGCCATGTACTGCCAGCCCACCTACCCTGGCCGTGGCTGTGGAGGGTAAGCTCTGCTTGTGGATGTGCTGGTGAATTATACCACCCAGCCACTTCATTCTGATTACTTCCACCCATATGGTTTGCAGTACTCCCTGCTCCTGCCCCACACACATCTCCACTGCATGGGTCTGCTGTAGCTGTAACAGTGTGCTGTAACAAACAGTCCCTGTGGCTCAGTGGCTCACGGTGACAGACGTGTGTTTTTCTCATTCGGGCCTGTTGTCCGGCTGGCATTGGCTGTCTTGGGGATAGCTGGGCTCCACTGAGCTCAGCTGCACTTGGCTCCAGGCTGTGAGTCAGTTTCGGTATGGCTCCACCTGCCTCATGCTGGGGTCTATTTTTCTCTTGATGGTGGCCAGAGAGCTAGGGGTCAAACCATACCACGTAAGTTTGTGGGCGTCTGCCCATGTGTTTCTGCTGCTGTTCCATCTGCCAAAGCAGACCACAAGGCCAGGCGCTGAGTCAGCAAGATGAGAATGCACACCCCACCCCTGAACTCTCCTGGAGGAGGCACCGTGAGGTCACATGGTGGAGGGAGGGAGTGGAGTTGGAGATAGATGCTTAAAAAAAAATTAGCACTGAGACGAAGGATGTTTCAGCAATGCAATTTCTACTTCCTGGACTGCAGGAAGGGTACTCCCACTAGCCATTTTGCCATGAGAGTACAATGAATAAAGGAAAACACACAAATTTATTCCTTATAAGTCTGGGGTTGTCCTTACCTCTGTGTCTGATCTCCATTGGCTGGAGCCAGAACTTACAATCTAAACTAAACCTGATTGGCTAACAACTTACAACTTTTTTAAACAGGTAAAAAAGTTGTAAGTTGTTAGCCAGTCAGGCCTGTGAGCACGTCCAGCACAGATATCTTGGTTGAAGTACAAGGACATGCAGTGTACTACGTGCCTGTAAGCATGGCATGTCTAACAGCTATGTAGGATAGGGCTTCACAAAGTTATTAGCATACTTACTCTTTAACAAGAAAGGAAACTTTAAAAAGGAACTTTTCTACTTCCCACAGTGAGGAATGGGGTTGGGTGAACACGTCTTTATTCACATGTGCCCTCCACCCTCTCTCTGGTTTATTCACACATCTGTCCCTGCCCAGGCTGTCCCTCCTGAGGACAGGGCCCCTTCCCGTTCTCCCTGGACAAGAGTGTGGAGATGTGTTAAGTGCAGAGTCACACCAGGCCCTGAGGGTGCAGATCTCAGTGAGATAAGCCCAAGTTCAGAGTTAAGGGGGGGGGTGTCAGTACTTGGGTAATGGCATTCCTCCCAGCTTTGGGGGCTGAGGAAGAGGAATGGAGATGAGGCCAGGAGCACCTGTATGACTGAGGGAACAGGAAAGTCTTTGCAGGGGAGGTGACCCTATAACGGAGCATCACAGGATAGATGGGATTTTAGCAGGCAGAGGAATAGATGGAGGGCATTCCAGAAGTGGGCACTGCCTGGACAAAGACCTGGAGAAAAGAAAGTCTGTGCCATTAGTTATTTAGCCTGGCTAGCCCTCCTGCCACTTGCTGAGCACGCTGCTGTTATATGTAAGTTTTTGGTGCTGCAAAAGAAGTAGCAAATATAAATTTTCTCAGCAAGGCAATTTACTTCTAAAGAAGGGTGCATCTCACAGATGGAGCAATGGTGAGCATATACCTGGAGGGAAGGAGAAGAAGGGGTTCTTATCCCTGATGCCGGTAGCCCCTACTGCTGTGGTTGTTCCCCTATTGGCTAGGGTTAGACCACATAGTCTAAGCTGATTCTGATTGGCTACTTTAAGGGGAGCAGGAGTATGGGCCAGAGTGGTGGGTGGGTAGTTTGGCAGGAAGGACGGTTATGGGACAGGTCAGAGCAGGTAGCCAGCGGTGACCTAGGTCAAAGCAGGTGACCGGGATGAGTCAGGATGGAGCAGAAGATGGGGAGGAACAGATGTGAACTGTTGATTAGAACTGGTGGGAAGGGTTGTTAACTGAAAATACAAGGAAGTTAAACTTTAAAATGGAAGACGAGGAACCAAACATACTGACATGCTGAATCTTTGAAGAGAAACTTGGAGTTCACTGTATGTAACACTGCCCTCCCTCCCTGGGTCTGGACATTGCAGAGGACCCACAGCCCTAGGACCCCATCCAAGGCAATTCCCCGGCACTCGAGTTGTTCCCTGAGAATTCCTTCAAGCTCCTCCAGCACCAGCTCGAAATTAAGTCGTTACTGGGAACCTCTGATCTCATTATGTGAATTATAGTTGTCCTGCTCTTTAATAATTCATGGCTGTGGAGCCTCAGGACACAGAGGCTCTGGCGAAGCACGCAGCAGGCAGCTTGAAGGGGATCCAGGGTGGCTTTAAGGTTGCTCATGAATACTCCAGTTTGTGGTAATTTGCAAAATAAAAAATACACAGCCGCAGTGCCCTTAGGCTGGGAAGGTATTTTAATTCCAGCCAGTTCAAATCACTGCAGAGGAAAGAGGTGATTCTTCCAGGTTTAAATACTTCCTTGTCTCCCTAGAATTCAAGACCCTGGACAGAGAGAGGACATTTAAGGAAATGAATCCTGTGGAGGAAGCATTTGTTCAAGGTGTTCTGATCCCTCCCTGTACACACCACTTCCAGACCACGAGACAGACAGACCTTTATTCCCAAATGGGCTCCTATGTCTTGTAACTTTATGCCCTTGGACACATCTTTTAGCCTCCACAAGCCTCTGTGTATCCATCTGTGAAGTGGGCAGATGATCCCTGCTTGGGCCGATCCTCCAGGAGGGCTGGGAGAATGGAGGGAGATATGTGTGTGAACACACAGGAGGATGTTCTCACCCTGTGCACGTAGAGGAGGATGGGCAAGAGGAGGGTAATGAAGGGTCCCAGGGGGCATAGGGAGGGGAAGGAATGAGGAGAGAGAGCTTGGTCACCCCAGGCCTGGGGCGGTGACTCTGGCAGTAAACAGGGACCCCATGACCTCAGATGTCACTTGCAGAGAGGCCCATCGAGCCAGGGCCCACCTGCTCTCTCTGCAGGGTGTGTGAACAGCTAGGAGTGAGGTCCTGAGAAGCCCCCAGCACACCCCAGCCACGAGGCCCGAGGCACTAGAGAACCTCATGTGCCAAGGACATGTGAGAGCCTGGCTGTAGCTGGTCTGAGGACCTGGGGCCCCACCTGTCCCCACTGTCATTCCATAGAGACTTAGACCCCTTAAACATGGCTGAAAAATAAAAGAATTGAGTCCATGTTTTAAGAAAAGAAATGATTTTTTTTTTTTAAGATGGAGTCTCACTCTCATTGCCCAGGCTGGAGTGCAGGGGTGCAATCTTGGCTCACTGCAACCTCCACCTCCCGGGTTTAAGCGATTCTCTTGCTTCAGCCTCCCGAGTAGCTGGGATCATAGCACCTGCCAACACACCCGGCTAATTTTTGTACTTTAGTAGAGATGGGGTTTTACCATGTTGGTGAGGCTGGTCTCAAACTCCCAACCTCAGGTGATCTGTCCGCCTCATCCTCCCAAAGTTCTGGGATTAGAGGCATGAACCACCATGCTTTGTCCTTTGTTGTTGTTTTTTTTTTTTTTGATAGGGTCTCACTCTGTTGCCCAGGCTGGAGTGCAGTGGCATAATCCTGGCTCACTGCAACCTCTGCCTCCAGGGTTCAAGTGATTCTCCTGCCTCAGCCTCCCGCGTAGCTGGGATTGCAGGTGTGTGCACCACCACGCCAAACTAATTTTTGTATTTTTAGTTGAGATGGGGTTTTACCACATTGGTCAGGCTGGTCTCGAACTCCCAACCTCAAGTGATCCACCCACCTTGGCCTCCCAAAGTGCTGGGATTACAGGTATGAGCCATTGCACCTGGCCAAGAAAATGAACGATTGAACAAATAGGAATATGAAAGCCAGCTTATGATAAAACATTAATTCGCTGTTGCCACCTGCCCACTCCCATCTTACACTGAGAATTGGTTTCCTTTCTATGAATCAGTTTTTGTGTTGCTCCAAAAGGGGCCACTGCTGAGCACCTACTGTGTGCACAGGGAGTATGTTGAGGGGCTCTGGAGCCAGGCAACCTGGCGCAAAGCCCTGCCCAGCCACATCAGCCATGAGATCTTGGCAGTCACTTTACCTCTAGGTGCCTCGATTTCCCAACTGGTAAATGGGGGTGATAGCAACACCCATGTATCTGCATCTTGCTGAAGACAGAATGAATTCATTGGCTTGAAGGACTTGGAGCAGAGGGGCTCTCCAGAAAGGCAGGCTATTGTCTCCCCAGGCACTCCTCCTAGAGAAATTCGCCAGGCTGGGGCACTGATGCCCACTTCATTGAGGAGGCTGCAGCTCCTGGGGAGGCCTGTGTACCCTGCTGTGTTTGGAGTGACTCAGAGGAAGCCTTTGACATTGGAGGGTGTCAATGGTAATGTAGAGGGGAGACTGTATCTTGTGGGTTTTTAGCTTTCTTTTGGTGGTTTTCAAATGAAATCTTTTCTAAGAGGCTGCTCTGTTTGGAGGAGCATGAGGAGGGAATGGAGAAGGGGCAGTCTGGCCTCCTGCTGACCTCCCTACATGGGAGATCCCCTCCTGAAGCTCTTGGGCTGAGGGGACCACTGTTTGACAGCCCCAGGTTGAGCCCTGGGAGCAGTCAGACCTCCCAACATTTTCCAGCCGCACAGCTGGAGGATACGCAGTGGCTTCAGGCTTACCTTCCTGCCTCCTTTCTAAAATCCATGCCCCGTGCCCTGCCCTGGGTGGGATCCTCAGGCAATGCCAGGGAGGCAGGATGGCTTCGAGGAGGCACCAGCTGCTGGGGCCAGACTCAGCTCTCTTTGGGGCCTCCCAGGGCCACCTTAGAGTATCCTGTAAGGGTCTCCTAGCATCTCCCTAGGGTCTCCTAGGGGTCTCTCCAGGGTCTTCTCTGGTCCCAGGGCCTTGCAGGGTCTCAGATCTCACAGGGGTCTCCTAGGGCCTGCCCAGAATCTCCTCAAATCCCTCCTCTGAGGGTTTCAGCCCCATCTCTCTCCCTACACCCACCTCTGTTTTCCTTTCCAGAGCCGCCTTCCTCCCTTTTCCCTCCTCTCAGCCTTGATTGGCCGTGAAAGAAAACTCAGGTGTCCCCTTTAGCAGTTTAAATGTATTGGCTATTTTCTGTTCTTCATTTAAAATACGAATGAGTGAGGCATTCTCTTTCTCTCTCTCAAAAATGTACAACAAAAGCCACATGCGAATTAATTGACTCTTTTCTCTCAGTGCCACTGTCCCCACGGAGACCAGCCTTGCCACGTTCACACTAAGCCAATACACTCTGTGCCGGAAGCAGCTACACTTGCATTCTGGGTCCCCCAGGACTCGGCGGGACTGGGCAGCAACCTCCCCCTCGACACCATCCCCTGGGGTCCTGTGGGGTCTCATCCCCCAGGTGGCGGAAATGCCACGGATGGCAGCACCGGCCCCTCTGGGCTCCTGGCCTCCACAAAGCTCATCTCCCCCTTTTCTGCAGTAGCCTTGCTAGGGCACTGGCATTGCCTCTCTCTAAGAGGACAGTGAGGCTCTGGGAGGCCAGGCACAAGTCCAAAGCCACCTGCAATGTGTAGCACAGCTGGCCTTGAAGGCGGGTGGCCTGATACCCAGCTCACATCCTCGTCCCCCATCACACAGGCAGGGAGGGGTCACAGGGTCCTCAGCCTAACTCCTCTGGGGATGTGGCCCTTCACTGCTGGCTCTACCATCAATGCTCTGGGTCCTTGGTCTCTGCTCCTTCCTATCCCAGCCAGCCCAAGACCACTCTGCCTTCTCCCTGTGGAGACAGACAGTGGGTCTCATTTAACCAGGATCTGAGCCCGGACCTGCAGGGAGGGTAGCGTCATTGGAGGCCCCGTGACCAGCAGGGACCTGGATGCCCATGATTCCCTCACCAGGTGTGAGGCCCCACTGATCAGGCCCCCGCTGGGCGCTTCCTCCCCAACAACTCCATGTGGCCATCCCCGCTGTGCAGATGAGGCCCCCAAAGAGAAAGGGGGCCTCAGCAGGTGGCAGTGGCCCTGGAGGAAGCTTGCATGGGAGCCACCCACACCTGGTCGCTGAGTTCACATGTGGTCCAGGGCAAGGCGACCCCAAGCAGTTGGCCGTGCACTCTACTGAAGGGACAGACAGAGTCTCGAGCCCAGGTGCTTTGGGATTGGAGGCTGCCTGGAAGTGTGAGATCCTGTAGGCCTAAGACCCAGGCAGATCTGGGAAGAGGCCCCCATCAGACCCCTGACTGCAGTCTTGGCCAAGCCACTTATGTCTGGGGCAAAAACAGGGTGATAACATGACAGCTGGCATCGGAGGTGGCCAGCACTGCTCCTCCACACTCATGCCTGCTGCCCCAGGCCCTGTGGACACACAGGCAGACGTGGGTGCCTTAGTACTCCCCAGCACACCAGGCTCTGTCCTACTCTGGGGTCTTCAGACATGCTGTTCCCTCTGCCAGGAACACCCTTCCCTCCAGCCCCCTCCTTGTCTGTCTCCTAAATGCTACTTCGATGTCACTGTCCCTCTTTATCCTCTACCGTCCCTCTGCCACTGCCAGCCTCATCCTTCATGCCCTACACTCAGCTGGTCCCAAGACCCGACTCTTGTCATCCCCTGAGTTCTGAGGACATCCATCTTGGCAAATACCTATTTCCGATTCAAACATCACCCCCTCCAAGAAGCCATTCCGACCTCCTCCCTCTTCCCCACTGGACCTGCACAGATTTCCAGAAAACACCTGTGACAGTGGCCCTGTGGCGATTCATGTTTCTCTGTCACAAGAGAGACCTTGTTGAGGGCAGCTAGTTGAGCAATCAGGATGGGCTGTCACGTGGAGGAGGCCTTCTGAAGCAGGGACTGTGCTACCATGGACACGCGCCCGTGCTGCCGTAGCACAGAGACACTTCTGGCCTCTCCCTTCTGCCCAGGTAAGACAATTTCATCTTTGTCCATTGACCTGCTCTGACTCTCAGATCACTAAGGAGGATTCTGAGGGCCAGCCTGTGCCTGCATGGTCGAGCTGCAGAAACAGATAGGTTGAGAAATGGCAGAAGCAGGAGGAAAAAAAGGAAAAGAATCTGTTCCCTGGGTTGGTTCCTGAGCTTCCGTCGTTGTAGAGAATATTCTGATCATGAGCAGGGTGCAGAGGAAATTATACTATCATCAGATGGGCTGAGGGGTGAGCAAAAGGAAGTTTAATGAGCTGGGAGCCAGAAGGACGGGTGAGATGGAAGAACGGGTGATATGGCAGAGCTGCAAGGGCAGAGGGAGCCAGGGGTGTATGATTTCAGGGGCGTGGCCAGAGAAGGAGAGGCTTTGGGAAAGCTACACGTTGAGGAAAGAGAAAGGATTTTTGGCTTCCTTCTCACATGCTTTGAGAAAATCAAGTGAAAAGCATTCATTCATTGTCTGCTTTTGGTTCTGGACTGTGCTTCCTTAAATTTGACTCTGCAGAACTGGGCCATGTGGAGCCATGAGATTCTTATGGGTTGCACAATGTTGTGGTTAAAAACCAGAAACTTAGGCCGGGCGCGGTGGCTCAAGCCTGTAATCCCAGCACTTTGGGAGGCCGAGGCGGGTGGATCACGAGGTCGATAGATCGAGACCATCCTGGTCAACATGGTGAAACCCCGTCTCTACTAAAAATACAAAAAATTAGCTGGGCATGGTGGCGCGTGCCTGTAATCCCAGCTACTCGGGAGGCTGAGGCAGGAGAATTGCCTGAACCCAGGAGGCGGAGGTTGCGGTGAGCCAAGATCGCGCCATTGCACTCCAGCCTGGGTAACAAGAGCGAAACTCCGTCTCAAAAAAAAAAAAACCAGAAACTTTGGTGGGGCTGGGTGGCTCACACCTGTAATCCTTGCACTTTGGGAGGCTCCGACAGAGGTGAGTCAGGAGAGGGGAGCAGAAGTGAATAAAGACCGAAGACAATTAAGGCCCATCACACTTCTGGTTAATGCTGTTCTGCTGGCAAAAGCAGCCAGATGTCATCTGGCTGTTGTAATGGCAACATTCTTGTATGTTTCCCATCCTGATTTTCTGGATCTTGCCATCCTGAGCCAAGGAATGCTGTTGGGGGTGCTGCACCCTGAGCTGATGGGATGGAGGGGTCAGCGGCAAGGATGCCAGCTCAGTCACCAATCAATGAGGGGCATACTCGGCAGGATGCAGGGGAAAGAGCCCAGGCTTCCGGGCACTGAATCGAGCTGGCATCCCAACTCCAGCACTTAGCCAGGTGACCCTGTTCAACTGACTCAAGGTCCTTGAGTTTCAAGTGCCCTCATCTGCAAACTGAGGCCCAGAATGCCCAGGGAGTTAATGGGATGGGCAGTTAGGGCCTGGCACACAGGATGAGCTCAGGGAATGCGGACAAGTGTTAGCGAGCAACTGCCAAACTCCAGCCAGTGGGGTGGACCAACCTGGCAAGGAGCCCTGGGCGCCTGTAGCACTTGCTGCCCACCTGAGCTGGGGCAGGTCCCTTGATCTCATCTGGAAAGCAGGATTAAGAACACTGTGCAGGTCTATGATATGGGTCTTGGGAGGCAATGCAGGTGAGGTGCTTTGCAAACTGTAAAGTGCTGTGCAAATATAGGTATTGCCAGAAGCCGCAGTAGTCATGAACACGTGGTGCAAATTGGCGGTGGTAAAAAGATGTGCTTTTTGCTGGTCTCTGGGCACTTTGTGGGCTCTCCCAGGAGGCATGGCCAAGTGGTCAGGAGGAGGTGCCGTGAATGTGGACCATCTTGGCTGTGTGACCTTGTGTGAATTACTTAACCTCTCTGTGCCCCAGGTGTGCCATATCTGTCACATGGTAACATGATCGCATTTGGGCTGATAGCTGTACTGAGCCTTGCCCTTCACAAGTGCCTGGTAAATGTGTATGCCAGCCGTCCTGGGCTGCAGCCCCGCTCATGCACTTCCTCTCTGGTACCTTCTATCTCCATTGCTAAGTTTAAGGCTTCTGGGCTCTCCAGTCCATTCCCCGCACGGTAACGGGTGTCTTCCAGGTGCTAGAAAGCACCTCTCATCATCTCCCTCTCCAGCTGGTCGGCTTCCCAAGCCACCCCACCCACCTGCACCTTCAGATGGAATCCCGACCTGCTTTCTGGCCCTCCTCTGGCTCTGCAGCCCTCATCCCCACCCGCCATTGTCTCTCAGCTTTGCTATTCACTGCAGTGAGATGAAACTGCCATGCCAAGCTTTTGCACCTGCTGCTCTTGCCTTCTGGACCACCAGCCCCCTCCCCAAGCCCCCTGCCCCTGGCCCCACTCCTCCACAATTGCCATCTCCTAGATCCATTGGCAGCCAAGTGAACCGAAAGCATAGAGGGGAAGGAGCTTGCACAAGCCCCTGGAACCCACAGATGCCAGGGAAGGGACTGGGAGCCAAGCCAGCCTGGCTTCAAAGCCCTGGAACCCACCAGCTAGTGTGGATGAGCACTGTGTCTGGGAGCAGCCCACAAGCCAAGGATTTCTGGGTGACTGACAATGTGTCATTTGTGGGATTGCAAACCTGAGACCCAGGGACAGTCTCAAGGACAGACCTGGGAGACCGGCCAGCTCCCCTCCCTGTTTATCACCGTCTGCTATGAGTGGCAGTTATTCTAAGGACCCACCGCTGCAGGATTCTTTCTGGGGACTCTTGAGAAACTCACCTCCTCTGGCCATCATCACACACAGGCTTTAGTCTCCAATCTTTGTCATGCCCGTCAAGCCCCTATAAGCTGCCCAGCTTCCTCTGGAGCCACCCAAGATTCTACCTGTGATGGTTGATACTGAGGGTCAACTTGATTAGATTGGAGGATGCAAAGTGTTGATTGTGGGTGTGTCTGTGAGGGTGTTGCCAGAGGAGATTAACATTTGAGTCAATAGGCTGGGGAAGGCAGACCCACCCTTAATCTGGTGGGCACCATCTAATCAGCTGCCAATAAATATAAAGCAGGTAGAAAAACGTGAGAAGGAGAGACCGGCCCAGCCTCCCAGCCTATGACTTCTCCTCATGCTGGATGCTTCCTGCCCTTGAACATCAGACTCTGGGTTCTTCAGTTTTGAGACTCAGACTGGCTCTCCTTGCTCATACTTTCGGATAGCCCACTGCGGGACCTTGTAATCACATAAGTTAATACTTAATAAACTCCCATCTCTCTATATATATCCTGTGAGTTCTGTCCCTCTAGAGATCCCTGACTAATACAGAGGTCCCCAAATCCTCTGTGCAATCAGACACCCTTCTGCTTTTGCCTGGACTGTTCCCTCCCCCTAAATACCTTTCTCTGTGTCCTCCTGTTAAAATCTGACTCCTCCCTCAAGGCGTGACAACACGGGAATTAGTCCTCATGGTGCAATGTCCAGCACTTGGTCCAACTGCTAGGTTGCTGCCTCTGGTCTCTGTCTTCAGACCGTGGGCTCCTCCATGGCAGGGCCTGGTTCTTGCTCCTCCCAGGTCCCCACAGCCAGCACAGGGCAGGTGGATGTCCAGGGAACAGAGGGTGTCACAAGAAAGAATGATCTCATAATACAGATGGGAGAGCAAGGAATACCCACCCCCGCCTGAGAGGTGATGCTGTGTGGGCATTATTCCCTGAGGAACCTTGGAGTGTGATTGAACCCACAGAGTAGGAAATGTTGTCCCAGCTCTTGAAAACCTGTGCCTTGGAGGATAATCCATCGAGCAATGACTTCCACGCAGACTTTTTCACCTGCTTTGGGTCTCCTGGCTGCTCCGAGTTGCCTTGGAAGCCCCTGTCCCCCGATCTCCGCTGCCTTCTCCTTGGCCCCTGCTTAATTACAAGAAACTCTCAAACTCTGTGCATGTGGCCTGAATGCAGTGTGTGTGCAGCCTGGACTCAGGTGTACATGAAGGGTGCGGGGGGTAAACCAGCTGCCTTTCTCCTCATCTCGAGAAGCTTCTGTTTGCTTCTGTTTCATCCTTGAAGACAGTTCAGCTGGCACAGAACTCTGATCAAAACCTCTTCCCTCAGAATTTGGCAGACATGGTGCCACTGCCTTCAGGCTTTCGTGGCTGATTGGGAGAACTCTGATACCCGCCTGTCTCTTGTTCCCTTGTCCCAGACTGCTCTTTCCCTCTGCAAACCTTCACGACGTTCTCCTTACAGCTGTCATTCTGAAATTTCACCAGGCGTGGGTGTTTCTCCATCATTAGTCCTGCTCAACTCTAATCGGGTGCGTCGGATCCATAAACACATACTTTGCTGCAGCTCGGTGGGGACGCGTTTCTTCTGTTACTTTTATTATTTTTTAGACGGGGTCTTGCTCTATAGCCCAGACTGGAGTGCAGTGGCGTGATCTCTGCTCACTGTAATCTCCGCTTCCTGGGTTCAAGCAAGTCTCCTGCCTCAGCCTCCTGAGTAGCTGGAATTACAGGCATGCGCCATCATGCCCAGCTACTTTTTTAGTTGAGATGGGGTTTCACCATGTTGGCCAGGCTGGTCTTGAGCTCTTGACCTAAGGTGAGCCACCTGCCTCAGCTTCCCAAAACGCTGGCATTACAGGCATGGGCCACCACGCCCGGCCTATTATTTTTAAACTGTGACTTCCTCTTCCCCATTGTCCCTTGCTGTCCCCCACAACTGCTCTCACAGGGCTGGTGGATCTCAGCGTTAGAAGCCCTTGCCCCTCAGTCCTGTGGTTCACGTCTTTCATCTCGAAGTCACTTGGCTGTATGCTTCAGAGGCACTTTCTCTTGTCTTTCCGAATGCCAGCCTGATCTCCGGATGAGCCTCGAATGATTCAACACACCCGTTGCATTATTTTTGTTAATTTCATCCATCTTCAGTATTCTTCGAGACTCAGCTATTCTCTCTCTTTCCTTTGCTTCATCCTTACCACCTAGCACGCAGGCAGGTCCGCCCAGGCACCCTGCCCCTGGGTTCTGGGAGTCAAAGGTGGTCCCTGTCACCAGCAACTCTGGTTAACAGAAGAAAGGAGGAACCAGGCGAGCACCCACCATCCCAAATGCCCCTGTGCCCCAGCCAGTCCTGACCTTTGTGGTTTGTCATGCCCAACCTGGGCTTCCCCAGGCCCAGCTAGGAAGACCCATCCTTCCTCCCACCTCTGGTCCAGCCTCTTCCTCAGCCCAGCCCGCTGCTGTCCTGCCCACAGGGAGAACTCTCTTCTCCATTGCCAGCATAGCTGGGAGTTCACCCTCTCTCTAAGCATGCTTTCTGCTTTCAGTGGCCCCAGGGAGGGAAGGGCAGAGTCCTGTGAACCCAGTGTACCATCTTGGACTGTAAGTCCACCCTAGCAGTGGGGCTCGGCTATTTTGCCTGGCAAGTGGATTGATGATGTTTTCCTTTCATTCCCCCTAAGTAAATATTAAATAAGGCATTGCTTCTCTTTCAGCTTGATCACTGGGGCCCAGTCATCCTTCAGGCACTCGTGGCTCACCCACTACTTCCGGGGAGGAGAGGGAATGACTTGACAGGTTTATTCCCCTCGAGACTGGGGCTGGGGCTGGGGATTGGCCTGTCAGCTGCACTATTGCTTGTTTCTCAGTTGGGCAGCCCCTGCCCGGGGTTGGGGTGTTGGCTGCCTTGGCTGGGTTGGCTCCAGGCTCTGAGCACCACAGAAAGGCACCTGGGTGCCTCCTGAACCCCTCCCATCATGCAACACGTGATGCAGCAAAGCACATATCCTGGAGGAGCCCTGCTGTGCGCCGAGACCTGCACCTGTACAGAGGCCCTCAAGGCCTGCGTCTCGGGCCAGAGCCGGGTACCTGCCCTCTACTCAGAGCTGGTGCAGAGCCCAGGGCTCACAACATGCCTTATAGGCAAAGAGAAGACAGGTCCCTATTCCCAAGGTCTTGAAGTCCTTGAGGGACAATCTGGAGAGACATGAGGGTGAGAGAGGGAGCTAGCACCTCGCCCCTGCACTGCTGAGAGCCTGCTGAACGCTCTGCCTGCACCCCAGGGTTTAGGTGCAGATGAGAAAACGGAGGCCCAGCTAGGTGAACCTGTGCCTCAGGCAGCCTGGCAAGTGGCAAAGCTGCCATGGGGCCTTTGATCCATCTGCCACCCTTCAAGTCTGTCAATGGGAAAACTCTAAGTAGCCAGTACCTTATAAAGGGGACTTACCTGTGCCTACCCCAATGATTTACCTGTGCCTGCCCCATGATTTCCCTGTGCCCCCTCCATGATTTACCTGTACCTGCCCCATGATTTACCTGTGCCCACCCCATGATTTACCTGTGCCCCCTCCATGATATACCTGTGCCCACCCCATGATTTACCTGTGCCCCCTCCATGATATACCTGTGTCCCCTCCATGATTTACCTGTACCCGCCCCATGATTTAGCTGTGCCCACCCTATGATTTACCTGTACCCACCCCATGATTTACCTGTACCTGCCCCACAATTTACCTGTGCCCTCTCCATGATTTACCTGTGCCCCCACCATGATTTACCTGTACCCACCCCATGATTTACCTGTACCCACCCCACGATTTACCTGTGCCCTCTCCATGATTTACCTGTGCCCTTCCATGATTCACCTGTGCCCATCCCATGATTTACCTGTGCCCCTCCATGATTTACCAGTGCCCGCCCCATGATTTACCTGTGCCCCCTCCATGATTTACCTGTGCCCCCTCCATGATTTACCAGTGCCTGCCGCATGATTTGCCTGTGCCCCCTCCATGATTTACCTGTGCCCGCCCCATGATTTACCTGTGCCCCCTCCATGATTTACCTGTGCCCCTTCCATGATTTACCTGTGCCCACCCCATGATTCACCTGTGCCCCCTCTATGATTTACCTGTGCCCACCCCATGATTTACCTGTGCCCCCTCCATGATATACCTGTGTCCCCTCCATGATTTACCTGTACCCGCCCCATGATTTAGCTGTGCCCACCCTATGATTTACCTGTACCCACCCCATGATTTACCTGTACCTGCCCCACAATTTACCTGTGCCCTCTCCATGATTTACCTGTGCCCCCACCATGATTTACCTGTACCCACCCCATGATTTACCTGTACCCACCCCACGATTTACCTGTGCCCTCTCCATGATTTACCTGTGCCCTTCCATGATTCACCTGTGCCCATCCCATGATTTACCTGTGCCCCTCCATGATTTACCAGTGCCCGCCCCATGATTTACCTGTGCCCCCTCCATGATTTACCTGTGCCCCCTCCATGATTTACCAGTGCCTGCCGCATGATTTGCCTGTGCCCCCTCCATGATTTACCTGTGCCCGCCCCATGATTTACCTGTGCCCCCTCCATGATTTACCTGTGCCCCTTCCATGATTTACCTGTGCCCACCCCATGATTCACCTGTGCCCCCTCTATGATTTACCTGTGCCCACCCCATGATTTACCTGTGCCCGCCCCATGATTCACCTGTGCCCCCTCCATGATTCACCTGCGCCCCCTCCATGATTCACCTGCGCCCCCTCCATGATTCACCTGCGCCCCCTCCATGATTCACCTGTGCCCGCCCCATGATTTACCTGTGCCCCCTCCATGATTTACCTGTGTCCCCTCCATGATTTACCTGTGCCCACCCCATGATTTACCTGTGCCTGCCCCATGATTCACCTGTGCCCCCTCCATGATTCACCTGCGCCCCCTCCATGATTCACCTGTGCCTTCTCCATGATTTACCTGTGCCCATATTTTACCTGTGCCTGCCCCATGATTTACCTGTGCCCACCCCATGATTTACCGTGCCCCCTCCATGATTTACTTGTGCCCACCTCCATGGAAACCATGGGCCTGAGATCCACAGAGGGGAGGGGTCCGACTGCAAGTATCGAAGCGCTTTCCCAGGGAGGGACACGTTTCTGCCAGGAGTAGGAGGGGCTGGAGTGCAGCAGCGAGTGAACAGAAGGAAGGGGCTGCAGCTGGGGCTGGGGGCCAGGCAGCTCTCACAGCCTCAGGTGACATAGTGCATTTAAAATCCCCACAGAGTGCAGAGGGGAGAGTGACAAGTGGCCAGAGTTATTGTGCAGGGGCTGGGTGGGGCTGGTGCCGGTGCACAGACAGGGCGCTGGGTGTTCTCCCAGGGGTCTGGGTAGCCCAGAAAGATGCCTTTTACTTCTTCCTGCCCCCCTTTCTTTGCCATTTTCTCCCTTCCAGCACCGCCCCAACCCCACCCCACCCACTGGCTCTGGCTTTACCACTGACTTCCAACAGGCTGGGCCACCTTCAGGAAGTCACATGACCTTTCTGCACCACAGTTCTCGTTTGTCTCAAAATGCAAACAGTATTCCTGCCTCCAGGAGCTGTGTGAGGGCCTCACAGGTGATGGATGAGGACAGCCCCTGCGGACAGAGGCAGCAGCAGGGAGGCAGCTGCTCAGGGCCAAATCTGTGTTCATCAATCCCCCATCCATATGGATGTGTCACCCCAGGGAGAGGCGGTACCTGGCCGTCCCCTCTGGCCTCTCCTATTGGTTGCAGGCTCTGAGTTCAGGCCACCGATTCAGATGTGATCAGGAGGTTTGATGAATGTAGATTCCACTCAGCATCACTCACCCCTCAGAAGGGAACGAGGACTGGAGAGTAATTATAATCAAGTTGGAGGAAAGCTGATGGTATTAATGAAAATCATTATGTTCCTGGCAGCTAATCCCGGCAAAGGGAGGGATTGACTGTGTTTGAATTCCTCTTTTTAATGT